GAGGGAGGGAGGGAGGTGGGTGGAAGTGAGATAGAGAGGGTGAGGTTTCACATCGAAAAAAGACCAAAAGACCGGGGGGTTGTTTCACCGTTGGTGAGAAAGGTGTAGGGGGGAGGAGCGAAGTTTTCACGTCAAAAAATTTGTATGGAGGAAGACTGAGGAGATAAGTCTTTGTTTTCTGAAATCACAAGGGAAAGCGATTTTTCCAAATGCACCATGTGAATTGTTCTTAGAGAAAATAAAAAAAAAAGGTAATTAGAAATAGCAAAATGACAAGTTTGTCCTTAACGAAAAAAAATGGACGTACATTAGAGGGAGGGATTAAATAAAAAAAAAAAAAATTGCAAACATTGAGGTTTCTTATGTAATAATTGATAGTTAGGGAACAATTCCATAATTCTCACCAAATTATTGGAACCAAAACCATAACTTACGTTAAACTCATTTTATCCTTGTTATGTTTCCAAAAATTTATTGATTAATATGTAGGAGTTGTAACCCGTAAAAGTCCAAAAATATAGTAATTGATTAGTTTTTTAAGATGTCATTTTTGGTCATGCTTATCAGCTAGTTTTGTTAAACATGATTTGTTAATCAACTAACTTATCAAACATCAGTTAGTTTATCAGCTAATTTGTCAAATATAACTTTGATCTTCTTGTTTAAAATGTCTTTCATAGTTAGATACAACAAAATTTCAAGTATTATTTTATATTATTAACACTGTTTCTTTATATTTGATTGATAAAAGGTAATTTAATTATTTTTATAATTATATATAATTCGTTTTTTATAAATTATTTATAACAAATGTCGAATGGAATTTGATTCAATTCAAAATCTTACAAATCAAACGTACTAAAAAATCCTAAATTCTTCACATTTCAAGTTCAAATCTTTCAAAAACAACCGTCCCCATGATTTTCTGTAAGAATTTGTAATGTCGAATTTGAAATAAAATTAAATTTAACACTATAGATAATTTGTAAAAATAATTAAATTACTTTATATTAATTAATTATTACAAAAACAAATTCTTTTAATATTTTTTAAAATATTATTACAAACATATCCTATCAAATCCCATAAAACACCAAATTTCCACGTGAAATATCTCTGAATCCCACATTTTCCTTCAAAATAAAAATATCTCAATGAACTTCTATGAAATGATTTCACGGGATTCAACCAATTGTATTGATCGTGGAGTATCATTGAGAAATAGGAGTCCGTGTTATCAAAGGATTTCCTGCGATTATTTCTAGTATGAAATGAGTCGATCATCCACTTCGGTATCTTATTGAACAAAAATGGTTATATCGTTCCTCCATTGATCAAGAATTTCGATTTTTGACAAGTCTCATGATCATCGAGTTTCAATTTTTTCAAATGAACGATTTGAAGACCTATTGATTCTAAAAACTATGGATCATTCGGACCTTTCAATTCATAGATGTAGATCTCGGATATATGAATGGGGATATTCCCGAAACTGACAAACAAAAAAGAAAGTGAGTTAGACAAAAAAAAGAAGCAACTTAGACAAAAAGAAACGAATTTCAAACACAAAATTAGAACCAGATCCAATTCCAAATAGTATCCTACCAAACTATGCAAGAAATTCTAAGAACCAATTTTTTTATTAACCTGGATATCCAACCCGTTATGCGAGCCGACTAATCCCAAAACGACCACCTGCTTTGCAGCTAGCCCAGAGTCACCGCATTTAAACCTCCGTAGCCACAAGGGGATTTTTATTCCTTTTTAAATTTAAATTTGTGACCTCCTGGTAGTTTTGACCTTTGGAGTCAAATTCAAATCAATCAGGTACCACACTTATGGTTTTAAAAGAGGCAATTTAAATACACAACATAAATAAATGCATAATAATAAAAAAAGACCCATTTAAATAAAAATCCATCAAATTACAAGTTTAAAAAGACAATAATAAAATTCCAAATCAAGAAAAAAATAAACTCTATCTATCAATTGTGCATTTAGTCACCATATATATATATATATATATATAAATTACTTTGGTTCCCTTCTTTTTGAAGGGTTGATGATAAATGCAAAGCCCTAATTACCATTTTACTGCTACAGTAATTCTCCATTGAAATCCTGCTGTGTTTGATCAACCTTCAATCAAAAACAAACCATATAAATCATCAACATCACGGTTTTCGTACACGATAAAACACCGATCGTGTGTAACAAATCATACCCGATTCAAAACTACGTCAATTCAATGGCAAGGGGTACAACGGAGAGGCTCGAGCTACTCGTATCTGATACAACAAGTCAAAAGTTAAGTGTCAGTGTGAAGATGATGGCTCGTAAGTTAGTTGTTAACCGAAAAGCAAATAAACTGGCTTTTAGCTGATAAATGGTATGTTGAAAAATTCATTGGAAAAATCTTAAGAGCATAATTGGAAAAAATTGAAAAATTCCCTTGAAGTTTGGGAACGTTTTAAAAAGCTAGCTTATTTCTAACTAAAGAGGGCTTTTTCAATAAAAATAAGCTGGTTTATGGTTGTCAAACATGGCCTAACAGAGAGAATGATTGGTTCAATAAGTACCTTCGGGTTCCATTCGCAACCAATCTTGGCCACAAATCAAAGCTTGTCGGATGTCGGGATCAACCGATCTCAAATGGTTATCGAGCAATCTACCGCCTGTGCTGAATGCCAGCTCCGATGAAAGCGTAGACACAGGAACGCCCAAAATATCGCGTGCCATCGTGGACAAGATCGGGTATCTCGGCGTATGAACTTTCCACCAATTTAAGATATTGAAATCGTAGTTTCTTGGAAACACGGGTTCCTCCAAATACTTGTCGAGATCCGAAATCCCGCTTTGGTGGTGCGAAGTTTCGTGAAGAAACTTGTCGAATCCTCGTAACCGGTCCCTGGTTACATTACTGGTTCCAAGTGAGCCACTGCCAGCTTCAGCCGATTCATCATCATCAAGCGAAGTTGGCTCGATAGAGTACTCGTCAAAAAGCTCCCTGATACCATCGGAAACTTCACGTATGCGTTCCGGAGCTTCGGCATCATATATCTGTTTATAGTAATACTCTACCAGCTTCATCTTGAATCGGGGATCCAAGATCGCAGCTATCGCCAAAGCTAAACCGCACTTGTTCCAATATTTGTCGAATTTGCTCTTCATCTTTACGGCAAGAGAACTAACGAAATCGTCTGGGCTCTTGCAGTAATCGATCAACTGGATGTGAACATCGCATATCTCTGGGAAATATATGTTTGCGGTCGGATATTTGCTTTGTGAAAACACGTTTGTAACCTCGACGAGAAGTTTCATATACGAGGTAACGGAGCTTGCCCACTGCCATTCTTCTTCGGATAAAACCGTTGTGTAGGTTGAATCATGTTCTTGAAGTAAATAGAAAGCACCCCGGTATCCTAACGCGGCTTCAAGCATAAGATACGTCGAGTTCCATCTCAACGGATTGTCGACAAATAACCGCTTCTCGGTGTTAATCCCGACCTGTTGAGCAAACTCGTCAAGTTTCCCTTGTGTTGTTAGCGAACTTTTAGCATGCCGAATGCTTTCTCGAATCTTTTCCGTCACGCCTTTAAGTGCTTCCATGGCATCTTGAAGAAGGGATTTCACAAGATGTGAAGCGCATCTCATGTCATACAGATCGCCATTCTTTAAAAGATGTCGGTTCTGCAAGACCCATTCTTTCGTTCTCGAGGCTATATCGTCATACGTGAAGCAATCGTCAAGCGTCATCGAGAACAACTTACGATCAACATCCCAATCCATCAAACACTTTATGACTAGCTCAGATAGGGCGTCTTCTGTTTGAGAAGAATCCAACGTCAAGAAATTCAACAGCTTCTTCTGCAACTTCCAATGCTCGTCGATATAATTTGCCGTCAAACACAAATACTCGACGTTCTCCGGTGACGACCACGTACCAACAGCAAGACTAATTCTTCCATTTAGAGTACGAACCAATTCAAACACCTTCTGTCTTTCTTTCGCATAGATAGTTAAGCAATCGGACTCAATCACACTAGTGGTCATAACTTCAAACATCGGCTGAAGATTCTTGACGAAAATCTTGAATCCAACGTGTTCCACCATAGACGGCGGATAATCATGTAGCATGATCATGCGGGCCAAATCCAGCCGGCTCCGATCTTGATCAAATCTAATGCTTCCAAGGTTAATGGCGTCTTCCATCTTCGGTTCTTGGTCAAATTTGTAGGAAATGGGCACGATCGTTTCATCTTTTCTTTGCATTTCATCGTAGTTGACATTTGCAATACTAACAACGTCTTCTTTTCGCTTTCTTTTCGCTGCAAGTATTTGTGAAACATCAAAATTGGATCGCTTTAAACACCGCATCAAATGGTTTCTCAAATGAGTAGTTCCGCTATTGCTTGATCCGCTAAGCTTCTTTTGACAATGTACACACACGGCATAACAAGCGTCCGCCTTTCTGACCCTCTCGAAGTGATTCCATACAACAGAAGTCAACCTCTTTGGTTTCTTAGCAGGAGTGTCATTTTGTATTTCCATCACATAAACTTGATATAAAGAAACCTATTTGATTGACAAATATATCAGCATACTTTCTATAAGATTATGCAAAATTATGATTTCAGTAACAATCCCGAAACAAATTCTATATACATATATATTGTTCCAAAACATCGATAAACATAATGATTGTGCGAAAATCTAACATAAAGAGCAAACTCGAACGATCTCTTGATATGCATGCTAGCATTTACAAGGTCCTTTGAATAAATGACCTTAATTGAGTTTTCAATTAAGATCATTGACCTTCTTAAACCTATTTTTAGCTCAATGACCTTCATCTGACATGCCTCAGTTAAAAGCAGTATAACATGCCCCATTTCATCATTTTATATAAACTAGAAAAATGGTAGATCAAAAGAGCCACAAAGGGATTGTTTGGTTGGTTTTTCATTAAGTCCTTTATGGATAAAATTGTTTGTGTGGATTAATCTATCTGTATAATTTTGGAGGGTTTTTTTCATAGATGGAAGGAGCATGTTTTTTAATTGGAACTTGGAAGTGACATGTATGGTAAAAGCTTGGCTTTTGGCATAAAGCTCCTCCTAAAAGCTTTACCAAATAAGCTACTTTCTTTATTATTAAGCCACTATCAAACAGCCATGTAGAGCTGACCGAATAAGATGTGAGTCTCATTAAGCTCATTAAGTTAACAAACAGGCCCAAAATGTGCATCTACTATGAGATGAGATAGTAGACATCCAATCTCCTTCCATTCTCTCCAAGTTGAAACACAGAAATCATAAAGATCCAATGCTTATAGCACATTCATTTATGGAGAGGAATTATTTAGTAATTTTCATAGTATAGGCAACTAAGAAAAACAAACACACACTCTAGTCAACTTTAGGGTGCGTTTGGTACGTGAGACAATGAATGACAAAACAAAACAAAATAAAACCTTGTTGTCCCACGTTCGGTGCAACAATTAAACTGGGACTAGGCAAGACCGAGGGCCGTTTACCAAATGCATATTGGCAAGAGTCACCACTTTCATTTACCTTATGGGGTAACACTTTCAGCCATCAAGCTGGATTAATGGTAAGCATTTATAATAAGGTAAGTGCTTATGGGTAAGAGTCATCAGCCTCACTTATCGGATAAGACTCTTGATCCTTGCCTTCCTTCTTACTGGATAAGATTCTCGGTTCTTGTTATATTCACCCGATAAAGTAATTGAACCGGTAAGCGCTTACCAAGGTAAGTGTTTAGTAAATGATCCCTAAGTAGGGATGGTGATTTGGCCCGACCCGGTGGGGAACCCGGTTCACCCGACCCGGACGGGGACGGGGATTCCCCGCTAAAACGGGTACCGGGGCCGGGGCCAGGGATCCCCGGTAGAGGCAAACTGGGGTTGGGGCCGGGGCCGGGTATTGTATCCCCCGACCCGCCCCGTACCCGGTATATATATAAATATTAAACATTTTTATTATTTGGGCTTATAAGTGATATATATAATTGGGCTTAGATTTATTATGGACTTGGGCTTATAAGTGATATATATAATTGGGCTAAAACGGGTGTTGACCGGGGGTTGACCGGAGGTTGACCGGGGTTGACCGAAAGTTGACCGGGGACGGGGCCGGGGACTATTTATATAAACCGGGGCCGGGGCCGGGGATTGCAAACCCCGCCCCATCCCCGCCCCGTTGCCATCCCTATCCCTAAGTGGGACAAAAATGGATTTTGTTTTTGTCCCACCAAAATAAGTAGAACAACAATCAGGGAAATGGGAAATTTACTAAACTACTGATGTCAAATTAAAACCCTAAAATCTTCCACAATTCTTTAACCCACCTACCTCACTCTTGCCCATCAATTCCAATCTGCATACCAAACGCACCCTAAGAGACTATACACTCACAAACTTCAGTTCAACAAATCCGAAAAGCTAAACCCTTCTTTGGTTGGTTGCTATGTCAACATTAAAACTGCTATAAATCACAATCACAACATACACACAGAAAACAACTCCCTTAGACAACATCAACACTTAAAATGTGCTTTTAAACTCTTGATCTTTATAAGTATAGCACCACCAAACATAAATTCCGATGCCAACCCTTTTATTTGTAGTACTTATTATAAAGTTTGATATGCTTTTTACAGAAATTTGGATCTGTAAAAACTCATTTGGAATCCAAAATCAAGGAGGATACAATTCTTGGAAACAAAAGGGTATTTCACTTTCAAGCATGATGATAAGAGAAACACACACACACAAAGCCCTATCAGACGACTTCAATCGTTCTGAATGTGATGCCAGCTATGCTGTTAATTGCAAAGCGATTGCACTGCAATAGCGGATTGCAGACTAAGGTATAGCAGTGCAATTGACCGATATTTGACCACTATTTGAGGTGAATTGCGGACCATTATTCCGATATTTTAGCTTGGGCCTCTTTAGCAAGTTGGGCCAAGTACAACAAGGGAGTGCTATAGGGATGATGATGATGATGATCACGTTGGAGATGAAGGGGAAGATTGGGAAGCTAGCCCAGACGAAGAAGTGAATATATTAGATGATGTTGACTTGGATGCTAAACCTATTGCTTGCGATTAGCACGTTTATGAACACTTTGCTTATTTTGTTCTGTGAAACTTGTTTAAGTTGATGTTTTGATGTTGAAACTATATTTTTAACCCATGCATATCATATGTTTATGTATGCATACACACACACACATATATATATATATATATATATATAATTCTAAGAAATATTATATCAACTACTATTTTGGACCGCTATAACCACTATTTCAAATAATTATCCCGATCGCAGCTTTGTATTTTCACTGCTATAACAGCATAGGATGCCAGTTTCATAAATCTTGCAGCATAACAAAAATTACAAAGCACAAACAGTTAATAACTCTATATTTGATTAGCCCCTCCAACAGATGCTTCTTCCTTCGATTGCAAAAGACAAAAATGAAATTGATTTCAATATTTGCATGCTTAACACAAATTATCCTATTCCTGAGTTCTTCTTTCTGAACAATTACCGTACTTATCCTTTAAATTATGCAAAAAGGAAAAAGAGGTTCGATATGAATCGGAATCCAAAATTCAAAGATTAACTACTTCTAGGAACAAATGGGTACTTGCTATATAAACAGAAATTCTCCATGATCACATGAAACACACAAAGAAACCAACCCCATCACCCAAAATTGCATAATCTATAGTGTAAAACCATAATAGCTGGAGATATAAGAAAAAGGAGAAATAGAGGGGGAGAAATAAAGAAAGAGATTCGAACCTTTTTGCAGCGGGTAAAGAAAGGTTGTGGGTGTTGGTGTATGGCAGAGTCCGATTGGATGATCCGGTAGGGTTAGTGTTGAGAGAGGAGGATCTGGATGGAACTGAGAACCCGAGGAAAAACCCCGATTTGGGAGGTGGAATGAGATGGAATTGGATCGTGATTTGGGTTAGGTCTTCCCGAATCTTTTGGGGTGGGTTTGCGGTTGTAATTGCTTAGATGGATGGATCCTATTCCTATTACCCTTTTCTTTCTTTATTTATTACGTATATCATTTATGGTGCAAATTTTCTTATTAATAAATTAACTGATAACTGATAAATTAGCTGATGGTTAATAATTTAATTGATAAATTAAATACATTTGATAAAAACTAACTGATAAATTAATTGAAAAAATATAAAATGGTCAAAAAAGATATTTTAAAAATTAATAAAAATTTAACATTTCATAATATATTTATATAATATGTAATTAATATAAACCAGATGTTAAAAAAAATTAAATAATATAATATGTTAATTAATATATTTCAGAGTTATAATTGAAAAAAGTGACAATAAGCTATCCTTAACTAGCTTTTCACTAAGTTGGTTTATAAACTAACTTATGTTCATCCAAACATATACCAAAAAAATAAATTATCTTATGTTTGTCAAACAATGCCTTAATTCAAACAAATATTTTCGAACCTAAATATAACAAACATAATAGGCCATTTTTTAAAATATATGTAATTGAGTAAATTATGACTTTCGTGTTTGTGGTTTGTTAATAAGTTTGATTTTTATTCTTGTGGTTTTGAAATTGCGATTTTTTGTCTTTATGGTTTACAATTTATTGTTTTTTTGGTTGTGGACTAATTCCTACCTTTAGGTACAAGGGACCATAACAGTAAAGAATTGTAAACCACAGGGACTGAAAACAACAATAAATTGTAGATTATAAAGACGAAAATAACACTGAATTGCCAACCATAGAGATGAAAGCCACACTCTCTAAACCACAAGAACGAAAACCGTAATTTTTAACAAACCACATGACAAAAAATGTAATTTACCCTAAATTTAATATGAGGAGTCACCAAGCAGTTGCGGACCCAAGATTTTTGTCAAATAGATGCACTTTTTAGGTGGATCAAATGTTTGAAAAGTAGCGGTTTAATGAAATGCAAAAGTTGACGTTGACTTAGGGAAAAGTCAATTGTATCGATTTGGCGAATAAACTTTTTGAGCAATACGAAGACTACATCTTAGGCATAAGCACGATGTGTTTTTTAGCTGAATTACACCTTTTCAAAGGATTTATTCAGTTTTTTGGTTGATTTTGAGTGAATTTTTCGGTTTTTTTAGTTGACATTCCTTATACTTTTTCAGTTGTTACAGTGTCGATGTATCTTTCTATTGAACAAATCAATAACTTTGTATTTGTAAGTGTTCAAGTGCACCTTTTATTTTCCAATATCCAACAACATCACTCAAACTTTAGCATGTGCACATTTTATACCCTAAAAAATTTACTTATCAAAATCGGTTGAACGAGTGTATAGGACCCCGAGTCCTCAGTTTGTCCCTGCCACCAAGGTTAGGCAAAAAAATCACTGTAGTCAAAACTATGGTTGATTGTTAAACTTGGTCTAATTCCTAGGTTTGGATGGTCATGAATGCATAGAGTCATAGACTAGCTAACTGAAAAATATAGAGATGATGTGAGATTAATGGGTTGTTTAACAGTTGCTGAATGGTTTGGTGTAGAATGATTAAGTGGTTAGGATAATTAAGAGACTCTCATGCAGGGCCGGCCCTGAGATTTTGGATGCCCACGGCGGAAAGTAAAAATAATGCCCCTTATACGTGTAAATAAAAACCAAAATAAACTATTTGAAGAGTTTTGGAACCTAGTCAATCTAACAAAAAAGTGCCCCTTAAATATAACAAAAATGATGCAACGAGGGGGACATAAACCAAAACCCCGTGTAACARAAGATAAAGTGCATCACGRGGGGACATAAACCAAAACCCCGTGTAACAAAAGATAAAGTACATCATCATTYACCTAAAACGATGCCTTCTTGCGTTTTTTGAAGCAAAAATATCTATCACTTCGTCATAACTAATATTAGCTAAAAACTTACTCTCAATACTCAAGATTGCAAGCCCGTCATATGCTCAATGCTATTTTCATGAGTGCTTAATCGTTGACCAAGATGTTTCCAATCACTTAATCCAATACTTGCTAATTGGCTTTTTGACCGGCCTTCTTTGAAAAGTTTGCAACAAAAACAAAAGACTTTATCTAGCTCTTTTGAATAAACTAACCACTTTCTATCATGACAATCACCATTACGTAACTTACGAACATAAAATTCATCAGAGAAGTGTCTACCTATATTATCTCTAGGAAAATTGATGTTAGTTTCCCTAATAGGCCCCTTCTCAACAAGCAAATCTTTCATTTTAGAATTTAGCATATCCCAAATTCTTGGATCAAATATATTCAAACGAATATCACTAGCAGCATCATCACAAGCACAAACAATTTCATCACTAACATTTTCATTTGCATCACAAACATTTGTATCACACACATTTTCATTTTTATCATTAGCATTTTCATTTGCATCACACGCATTTTCATTTTTATCATTAGCATTTTCATTTGCATCACACGCATTTTCATTTTTATCATTAGCATTCTCATTTGCATCACACCCATTTCCATTTTTATCATTAGCATTTTCAGAAGCATTTGGTTGTCTAACAATAAATTTATTTAAAGATCCTTGTAAAGATTGAGCAATTTCTTCTTGCCTTTTCTTTCTTTTCCTATTTTGAGCACCCGATGGTTGTGATCGCGGCAACATAACTTAAGTAGTTAAATTGCTAAACAAATATACGAGATAAAGAATAGAAAGCTAACACCTGAATTTGGTATTTCGTGGTTTGTGTTGTGAAATTGCCAAGAAAGTGGAACTATTAAGCAACCTGTATAAATTGATAAATAAGAAAACATTAAACATAAGCATCCATAAAACAGTGAAACAAAACCAATCAGTCAGTGAGGCTCAAATAAAATTCTAAATTCTAATTTTATGGTTGTCATTTGTAAAACAGTAAAACACAAAAACAGCCCAACAAACCATAATCAAAGAATCACAGCTTCTAAGCACTAAATCATTATTAGGTTTCCGGTTTCCCAATCAAACAATGAAACAACTTTAAAAATTTCAAAAATAAAGTAAATAAATCAATAACCTAGGTTAAAACTAACCTCAATGTCAATGGCTCAATACTCACAATCAAGTAATCAAAACAAGACTACAAGAGAGAGCAGATGGCCGTCGATATCGAGAGAGGCAGAGAGAGAGCGTCGAGCGACAGCGAGAGCGAGGGCGTCGAGCAACAGCGAGAGCGAGGGCGTCGAGCGACAACGTCGAGCGAGAGCCGAGAGCGAGAGCGAGAGCGACCGAGTTGCGAAAGAAATTTGATTTCTGTTGCGAGAGCGAGAGCGAGAGCGAGAGGCGAGAGCGAGCGATTGAGCCTTGAGGATGAATCGATGTTCGATGATGGATATCAGGACCAGGGCCGGTAAGTGAAACATGGAATGGGCTTTTATTTTCTTAAAAGGCTAACGGTAATAATTTTTTTTTGGCCCAAATACAAACTGAACCTAGTATAGACATTGGGCTTAAAATTTTTTGATGCCCTCCAGATTTTTGATGCCCTGGGCCGTCGCCCCTTTGGCCTAGGCCCAGGGCCGGCCCTGCTCTCATGATATAATGCAAAATGAAATATAATTGTTTGGTAATTATTTACAATGAAATTAGGGCGCTGAATGGTTAAGAGAGTCCTATGATACAAAATTATTCAGAGGGTTTTAGAACAATTAAGAGGCAGACTTTTCTTTTGCCAAACAAGATTTATCTTTTAACGATACAGATGTTGCCTCTTAGTAAAACTATTAAAAGATAAAGAAACAACCAGTAACTCAAAAGTCTAGTTAACTGAAAAAGTAGTGTGTCCATGTTATGAAACTAAATGTAATATCATCGTTGTTCGTGTTCCAAGAATGATTCATTTCACGCAATAATTCCTCCAAATATAATTTACAGTCCGAACCAATAAATTGACTAATAAACCTTTGTATTATATTAAAAAAAAAAACTCTTATGTATATCATATGGTTTGTTTACTACAATTTTGAGATTGATTAATGTTCCAATAAAATAAAATATTTTCATACAAAATAGGTAATATCAAAGTTGTATTAGATCAAATGATACAACCTCATAATCAAAGGAATAAAAGAAAGGGGTCGTTTACCAAATACTTATCCGGTAAGTGTTTATCAATAAAATTTAACATTATTATTTACTTATTGGGTAAGATTTTAGTCGACCAAAACGACATTGAATGCAACAATTCACCAGGTAAGTGCTTACCATGGTAAGATGGTAAGAGTCGTTGTCCTCACTTACCGGGTAAGACTCTTCGTCCTTATCTCGCTCTTACCGGGTAAGATTTTTTGTCCTTATCATATTCATCTGATGAGGTAACGTGGCTTGATAAGCGCTTACCCGAGTAAGCGTTTGGTAAACAACCCCAAAGTCACAACTTTACCAAGTGGAAAATTTTATCAACTAAGGGGTCGTTTATCAAATGCTTACCCAGTCGGTAAGACTCAACACTGTCACTTACTTTATCGGATAAGGTTATAGTCCATCAAAACGGTATCCTATGTAATAATTTATCCGGTAAGCGTATACCGGATAAGACTCTTCATCCTTATCATCATTCTTAAGAGGTAAGATTTTATTTTCTTGTCATGTTCATCAGGTAAGGTAAATAACCCGATAAACATTTAATAAACGGCCCATAAGTTATTTTGATCAACACGAAGTATGTAAATAAGTAAATAAACACAACTCAAATGCCTTATTAATCAAATTCACATATATGTAGATTGGCCACATTAATTTAAATCCAATTATGTAAAAAAAAATCATTTAGATCTTATTAAGGGGAACTAATACTAATTCGGAGGGATAATTTGGTAATTCAATAAAGTAGATCATATGTCGATTAAAGAAGATTTTGTTGCTTGAATATTGAAAAAAAACCAAGACTAGAAATCAGTTAAAGATGGTCAAGAAAGATATATTAAATAAAAGACGAAGAAAAAAACTAAGAAATCAAAACAGATAAAATGGTCGAAGAAGAAGACTTACACTTAGTGATGAGTAGAAGATTCTAAGAAGCCGCAAGGTGCAACATGAGTTGCAGAATAAGGCGGTCGATGACTACAGATCAGGCGTTGAGAGAATAAGAATGAAAAATAAGAATCGAAAGCAAGAGGGGTAACCTTAGGTTTGATTAGATTTGTAAAATTACGATAATACCCTTACATAAAAAAAGGTCGAGTGATATGCACAATGATGTGCTTCTCCCTAAGTCCATGAAGAATACTCGTCATGCTTGAAGATAAAGCGTTACACGGATGACGTTTTAATATGAGTGAATTTATATAAACGCTGAATTTTAAAAACAAATTGAAACTGAAAACCATTTAAAATAACTTTAAAAAAGTCTAAATTGTCCAATACAATATATTGTGTTTTTCTTTTATTAAACAACAAATTACACTGGTTTTGTTTGGAAAACCAACTTCAAAAGCTTCATTATGGGTAACGTTCCATGTCTTTGATTTAATTAAGGAAACTCATGATATTCTTGATGCAAATTTTTTATAACTTTGTGAATAAAAAAAAGAAATATATTATAACTTTGTAAACAAATAATCATTCTTGAAATATATATATATATATATATATAGAGAGAGAGAGAGAGAGAGAGAGAGAGGGGTTTAGGGGAAAACTCTAAAAAAATTAAAAACTGTGAAACATCTTGATAACCATTCATTTAGACGGTATGCATGCATACAAGTAATTGAAAATGTTTCTTTTTTGTTTTATGCACATATGCATACAGAACAAATTGTTTCCAAGTTACTTGTATGCACATGTGCATACCGTCCAGATGAATGGTTACTGGATGTTTCTTAATTTTTTATTTTTTATAGTTTTTCATTGAACCGTTATAGTTTTATATTAAATAAACTTAAACTATTTTCTTTGATATACGTTAGAAACTTTTTTTTCCTTAAAGACTCGTTAAAAAAATAATCTAACGACATTTTGTGCCCTCTATAGACTTGATAATTGGAGAAAACCTTTGTCTACAACTTTTAACATGTGCAAAAAGTTTAAGAGGGGTAAAAATATAATTTTTATGTTAATAAATATTAAAGAATATTTCTAACAAATTCTTTAAAATAGAAAAAATTGGATTTTGTTCATTATATTGTTTCAAAATTATCTATATTATATTATAAAGTATTTGACAAAAACTCTTAAAAATCATTTTTATGCATTAAATATTGTTTATTGATTCATATTAGTTAAAATTCAAGAGTATAAGTAAATTGTACGTATGTACAATTTATTAAAGTTTTATGTTTGAATTCGTGTGACTAACTGTAGATAAATAAAATCAAATATTGGATATGTATCTCATTTTAAATATAAAAAATCTAAAATATATTTAGGATAATTATTGAATTCTAACAAAATACTAATTATTATTTTTTATAAATAATATTATTAAACCAAAAATAAATAACTCCATTATTAAATTCAAATTAAATTATAATAAAAATGGAATTAAAAAAATTACAAAAAAAACAAGAACTTTTAAATATTTAATTTGATACTAAAATCAATACATTTTTTTTTCAAAATTTTGTAATACCTTCAAGTTCATATTTTATTCAAAAAAAAATAAAAGCATTATCGTTTTTTCAGTACCACATTAAATCATATTATAACATTGACGAAGACAGAATAAAACAAGACATTAAAATCAATATATATATCGTTGCATTGCACGAATACCCTTCTAGTTTTCTAAAATAGAGAAAACAAGAGAAAAATCTAAATTTAAAAAATTCTCTAAAACTTGATGAGATATGAAAGAAATGATTTTTTTTGACCAATGAGATTAAACTATTATTATTTTATATAAAGTTTTTTAAAAAAGTGTATGGGAGTGATAAAAATATAGAATATTTTTAATAATACTTAATAATGTTGAAATCTCTAAAATAAAAAATGCATTGGAATTGAATGTAAATTTTGTTTGTTTAAAAAATTGACTTTTAATTTTTCATTTTAAAGAAATTAAAAAATCTTGACTGAACCAAAAAAGGAAGTTATCACTCAATAACGTTGATACAAATTAGAATGGTATTTGCGCAATGCAACGAGATATATTTCGATTTTAATGTTTTGTTTTATTTCGTCTCTGTAGATGTTATAATATAGTTTTTATGTAGTTTTGAGAAATAGATATTGCTTTTATTTTTGAATAAAATATAAATTTGAATATATCATAAAATTTTGAAAATAAATATTAATATTAATATCAAAATAACTATTTAAAATTTTTTGTTTTTTTGTGTAATTTATTCAATTTAATTTTTTTTTATTATAATTTAGTTTAGATTTGGTAACGAAATAATTTATTTTTGATTTAATAATATAATTTTTATAAGAATATAATTAAGTATTTTGTTAGAACTCAATGATTATCTTAATTATATTTTAGATTTTTTATATTTAAAATGAAATGTTTATCTTATATTTAACTATGTTTATCTGCAGTTAGTTACACGAATTCAAAAATGAAGTTTTAATAAGTTATACTTATGCACAGTTTATTTTGTAATATTGAATTTTAAGTAATATGTATCAATAAACAGTACTTTTATATATAAAAAATGATTTTTAAAAGTTTTTTGTCAAATGATTTATAATATAATACAGAATTTGGGACAAAACTTTCGAAAGGATGTCCTACAGTATTTGTAGCCAATCCGGTTGGAAGACACGCAGAACAAGTCATAGCCGAAGAAGGTGGTAATTTGTTAGAGAATTGGTTGAGGGTCTTGTGAGAAATCAATCAAATGGACTTTTGGACATGAGATATCGTGTAGGAAAATTACTTTACTTAAAAGGAATAATTTTGCCTTTGGGTTGAACAAAATTTTCTCAGGGATAATCTTAGATACATATTGATAGGCTTATGGCATAAAAACGAGAGCAAAAAACACAGAGATGTTCATATGTATAAACGAGAATGAGAATACCTTTTAATAATTAGCAGAAAGTTACCAACGATTATCGGGAAGTTATAAAAGGTTACATGACAATTTCATAGCAGTTAGGAACAGATAGCATCAACAGATGTAAATATTGATTAACATAAGTGGATAAACATGAATCAACATCAATTGGTGAATCAACTTATCGCTGCCACTCACCCTAATTAGGTGCGTCTAATGTGCATGCATTAGTGTCACTAAAATACTGAAAAATAGCCACTTAAGTTCACCAAACACACCGCAAGGGTTGCTACCTTTTGGACCCCACAAGGGGCGCAACCCCTTTGTATAGCGCTATATGGAGACATCCGATGATCCTGATATCTAGCCAGGCTCGTTGCGACATTTTATAGATCTTGGGCATAATGTAATAAAAAAGGCCCTCGATGTGTACGAAAAAAGATATTCTATTTATTGTTTTTATCATTAGAAATAACATTGAATTCAAGAAATACCAATAATTTATTTAACCGTTTTTCCATGTATTCCTACATGCAAAATCAATAAGTAATTGTTTCTAAGTCAAAGTTATCTAACATATCATTCTTGATCGTATCATCAATCCGTTCCACCGTAATAAAGCATCTTGAGATATATCTTTAGTATATAGATTGTTATCAAACTCATCGAATTCCATTCCAATTCCTTTGATGAATTTCAATTCCACCGAATTTTGTTTTGCAAACCAAAGCAACCCTTAGAACCCCTTAGAACGATGGTAAACGACAGACTTTGTTGTATTGTTCGTTTCAAACAAAACGGATAAGTTGGTCATTGGCCATTGCTAATGGGGTTGACAAGAACAAAGAGAATATGGAAAAACGTAGGCTTCATTGCAATGCTCTTCTTCTCATGAAATTAACCCCTTACAACTAAAGAGAGCTCATCCTAGAAAGGATATGAATATCACAATGCTCTTACCCTTACATCTCTTTTTTCTAATAACAGTAGCAAGCAATCTCATTTTTGAGTAGATGTTCCTACGACTAATCGCCTACTTGTTGATGGACATTTCACATTTCATCAGTTAGAGTAGATTTAAAGAAAAGACAGGTTCAGAAGTAGATGTGTTTTATGTTACCGGTATTAAGAAGATGAGAAGAGCTCATTGCTTATAGTTGGTTGGCTTTCTCTCTTATCTACAACCTGGAAATGGGGAAAATAAGGCAAGATATGTTAGTTTCTTTTTTTAAGGCCATAGTATCCCAAACATTTGTCCCACCTACACTTTTTTGCCATACCCTTAAAAGAGTAGATAGCAGATTCAATATAAAGCTTCTAGGCAACTTCTTAAGATTTGAGCTAAATTGGTTACTTACGTGAACAGTTGAGGTCGGCTACGAGAGAGCTGAGGCCGTTTCATTGGTGATAATATGAGATTTCTCAAAGTCATAGAGGGATTGCTTGCTCCACCTCCACCACCACCACCACCACCTCCACCTCCGAACATGGGGCGACCAACGGGTCTTCTGTTTTCAATTGGCATTGCTGAATGTTTTACAGGTGAGCTACTAGAAATGTCGAATTGTCCAGAATTACCACTGTTCTGCCTTGTTGTTGGTGGCCATATATCTTCACGAGGTCCTGGAGTTTCAGGGGTGAGAACCGACCAATCTGCAGCAAATAAGTCAACTAGCATTTCTTGGGTACCTGAAGCTTTACATATCTTTAAACCATTTAACTTTCTCCCCTCTCTCCTTTTTGTTTTTGATTTTTTTTATTAGATATGATTATTTTACTGTAATGATTTTTATTAAACAAAATGGGATTACCTTTCCTCATGGAATCTCTATTATCCATCATATTAGCTGGACTGGCAAACAAATCAGGTTCAGCCCTTGAGAAGAAGTTGTTTGCAGGTTGAATGGCTGACCGTTTGATCGAGTCATACTCACTTCTCAATTGATCATACATCTCGTCCAGTTTTCTCTTTTGTCTATCAGTGAGAAGTAAAAAACTTAACGAAGCTCCAAGAGTCCCAGTTGAATAGATTATGGAAGGAGGCCAGGGGACAAGTAGCTAACCTGGATTTCTCAGAAAATTTTTCTTGGAGTTCCTGTTTATCTTTGGACAAGTTTTCAATTTCTTGTTCCATCATCTGACACCTTTTGGCCATTTTCTGATATGCGGTATGCACTTGCTCCATTTTTTCGGTGAACTTCTCTTGCATTGCCTCACATTTTTGCCGGCATTGAGCTACTATCCTGTTCATCTTGAATTGCATTTCTAGTTCCTTTTGTCCAATGTAGAATGTCACACTTCTGTATGCGCTCTTCATTACTACTTGTGTGTTAAGGAAAGATGTATGGAGCAAGTAGATGATGCACCAAGACATGATACAAGAAACCAAATTCCAATACATGTTCAAAGGCATAACTTGAAATTTTCATTTAAAAGTTAACAGTAACAGGATACATATCTGTGGAGATATGCCAGCCATAGCCATCTGCAGTGAAGCATGTGAAGAAAGTTAGAACTGAAGGAGGCTGCTTGCTACAAAGATATACAAATACTAAAATCACAAAATCAATATGGGTATTGTGACATTTGACTGAAGCAAGTATCTTTACAGAAAACTCTTCCGATGTGCTTACTTACATTTATCCATTCTTCATTTGGGTTGACATCCACAGGTTTCATGAGACTGAAAGCAAAAATGAGCATTGAATTAGTAAGCAACCAGATATACATATGACTCGGCCAAATAGTTGAAGAGACAAGTTGTTTGCAGTCTAGCACAGAAATATACAAGATCTGTTGCATATACCTGCAGGAAGACAACAACTAATTAGAGAATAAAATTTGCAATAATATCAAGGAGGCCTTTAGAATAAGATGCTACCATTCCCACCCAGGTAACCTTGATGGAGAGTTTGAGGGTCTCATAAGAGGCAAAGGTAAAACTTCTAGAGCTGAACCAATAAAAAGAAGACATAGAAAATGAAGAGAAAGAAAAAGGTGACTCCTTAGATTGCAGAATCATGTTGAGTCAACAAACAAAGCCTTTAGCCCAAATGATTCCATGAGAAAGATAACATGACCTAACTGGCCGATTGTCAAATAGCGTATCTACTATCTAACACCAAACCTAAGCTATATTCCTACAACTAAGTTGCGTAATTTTTTTCAATATTTTACCGAGCCACAAAGGATGTCAAAACAGAAGAGTACCGTGAGACACAGAGGAACTGGAAATCTCCTTATAGAATCTGCTTATACCTTTTAGAAAGTACTTGATCACAAATAGGGCAAGCTGCATCATTACTTAGTATCTTACTGGCATCTTCATTGCCTTTCAACGCTGTTAAGAAAAATAAGTTGTGCACCATGCCATTCACTACTGGAAAGAAATATAATTGACTAGTCTACAAAAGAATACAAATTTAGGATACACAAGATATGACCACACGTGGTAGAAATAGCTCTCCCTTCCAGCTCCCGCCAGCATGCGTTACATCTCATTGCAGTGTTTGCAATGATCTCCAGATAACTTGATACACCTTAATGATCGCTGTAAGACCTGTTGTGGAAAACTCAATGTATAAGGAAACCAGACTGAGACTACGGAAATGAATAAAGCCAATTGATCAACTGTCATTGCCATTAAAGATGACTACTTAAAAGCCATATTCACGCAATGCGTACTAGTCCAACAAAATGACTACACTGGTATTATTAGTTAACATTTAACAGTTGGCAGATGGCAGCAAAACTTGCATCAGAAAAAGAACGAATGACCAAAGATGATATCATCATGTTGCAGTAATTTAAAAAATCATGAAAGTCCGTCCACATATTATCGTTTCTTTTAGGAAAAAACACAGTCAATAGTTTAAACATGTGAATAAAATGATGGCATGTATGAAAAGTTAAACATTTTCAGCTTCTAACAACATTGGCAAAATGAAAATTATTATTTTCAAACTCTCTGAAAGCATTATCTAACTTTATAGCTAGTGGCATAAGCGATGGCATATTAAAAACATCTCTCTTCTCGAGAAGAAATAAAAGATCAAAGGCTAGGTAGTTCTATAAGGACATGGATCCCGTCAAACTTCGATTTTGTCGTGCATTGCCCTTGATAGAATATAAAAATGAAGGATCTCCGACATATAGTAAATGAGGGCAATGGAGCAACACGAATTTGAATTTCCACATTCTTAGCTGGAAATAGCAAAAGATTTTGAAGTTTTACTACACGCATCCACCTTAACAATAAACATACAGCATAATATAACCTGTAGCAATTAAAACATAAGGGTGGCTTGTTGTTGCAGGGGAGCTATAAAAAATTCATTGATGTTGTATCCTCCACTGTGGCCATCTTCTGATTCAGCTATGCTATCACCTTAAACTATATGCCGCTGAAAGTTAACAAAAAGAAATTTAAGCTCTCTGTTGAAAATTTAGTATTAAGCATTTATCTCTGTTTCATCGCTCTTATGGTAGTATGTGATAACGATGAATTACTACAGACGAACAAAATATTAATACTGATGCGAAATAGTAAAGTAGAAAGGACCAGATATTCACTACATTCAGTTCCGGATATACCTATTGATGTCGATGTAGTCCTGAATCAAAGTTGAAATTTAACTCAAAATTACTAGAACAATTTACGAAAGATATCTGATTGCAGCTTGAAAAACAATCTGATTGCGATCAAGCACGTAAAACCTGCAACATCATCAGATTATAACATAGAAGGAACCTAATTGATATGAAACGACAAACTCGAGCCAGCGAACTCGAAATTAGGGCTTATATGACGTGTTGATCCGGTCGACATTTGATCGGAAAACTAGATTTTCAATCCGTTTAACTGTTCTATTACATAAAAAGAATGAAATTCATTAGATCTAACATGATAATTATCAAATCTCACTTACCGAAGAAGATTGAATCGTTGCTATCTCTGTGTGTGGCTTGCTGGCTTTCCGTGAAATTAAAATGGCGGCAAAAGGAGTCGATTTAAAAGTGGCGCAATCAACGGTCGTCTCCTCGAGTTATAATCTGGTGTTTCTTTCGGCAAGAAGGTCTTTTAAATTCTTTTTTGGTATTAATCATCCGGGAGTTTTCAGGGATGTTTATAGACGGGCCGTTTACTTAAATGCTTACCAGGTAAGTGTTTAACGTTAGGAGTCAATACTATAATTTATTTTTATTGAGTAAGATTGTATTACATCAAAACATATCATATACAACAATTTACCAGGTAAGCGCTTACCCGGGTATCATAGTGATATCACAATGCATCTTATATATGTTTGGGTATGACACTGTATCTTTTGTTTTTGCTACATCTCTTTTCAATTTCTGTGTTCAACACTATGAAATCAAGAAAAAGGAATCATAAAGCATTTGTTTACAAATGCATAATCATCTTGTTGGCAATGCATTCATATGGGTTGGTTGATTTTTACTTCTGGATATTGATTTTCTCATTTGTTTTATTTGTTGCACCTTTGCATTTGGGGCATTATAGTACAAAGTAAAAGCAATGGCATTGTTTTGTTCTATTGCATTACCACTATTGATGCATATCACTACTACAATTGATATCCAACTCTAAAGATTTACGAAGAGATTGTATTCTACAATATTATGTCCTAATGTTTATGTAGGTAAGGTGTTTGATTGAACTCATAGAATCTGACTTATATATATGCATCTAGGCGCTCTATTATAGTATATATATATATATATATATATATATATATATATAGGGGTCTATTCAAAGGAGAACTGAGTTGTTTGTGGTAACTGTGAGAACCAATATTAACCACAAATCAATAGATAAATTAGGAAATTTATAACTTTGGTAATTTTAAATTAAAATCTTAATGCAATGATATTTTTGGTATTTTAAAACTCTTCTCTCTCCGGCCACCGTCCTCCGGTGATACCACTATGATACCACTGTGATACCTAAAAATATTGACTCTGTTAAACAAAAGATACATTGTGATACCTAATCATATATAAGATGCATAGTGATACCACTGTGTTACATTTTCGATCGACCACACAAACGACATCAATGTGATACCCAAGCACATATATGATGCATTGTGATACCATTGTAGTATCACCGGAAGACGGTGGCCGGAGGATGGTGGCCGGAGATAGAAGAGAGGAGGGAGGAAAGTTTTAAAATACCAAAAATATCCTTGCATTAATATTTTAATTCAAAATTGTCAAAATTATAAATTTCCTAATTTATCTATTGATTTGTGGTTAATATTGGTTCTCACAGTTACCACAAACTAATTAGTTCTCATTTGATTAGGTATATATATATATATGGGCTTATTCAAGGAAGAACTGATTACTTTGTAGTAACTGTGAGATCCAATCTCAACCATAAATTAATTGATAAATTAAAAAATTTATAATTTTGGTAATTTTGAATTAAAATTTTAATGCAAGGACATTTTAGGTATTTTCTTTCCTCTCTCCTCTCTCCGTCCACCATCCTCCGGCCACCGTCCTCCGGTGATACTACTGTGATACCTAAAAATATTGACTTTTAAACAAAAGATACAGTGTCATACCCAAACATATATAAGATGCATTGTGATATCACTATGTTACATCTCCGATCGACCACACAAACGACCTCAGTGTGATACCCAAACACATATATGATGCATGGTGATACCATTATGGTATCACCGGAGGACGAGGAGAGATGAGAGATGAGAGTTTTAGAATAACTAAAATGTCCTTGCATTAAAATTTTAATTCAAAATTACCAAAATTATAAATTTCCTAATTTATCTATTGATTTGTGGTTGAGATTGGATCTCACAGTTACCACAAACTAATTAGTTCTCATTTAATTAGATATATATATATATATATATATGGTTCCGATGAGATCTGTGCGTGTTAGGATTCTTTATGTAGGTAAAGTTTGTCATTTTGGGTTGTATTGATAGAAGAATAGCAATGGCATATATAATTACAAATGAGATTATAATGGTCTTCTGATTGTTCGTAAGCACTTACCAAAATCATTTGGTAGTACTCTTACCTGGACAACACTCTTATCCGAACAACACTTACGCGGTAAGAGTTGGAAAATTGGATTGAATTAATATATTGGATGAATCGGATCCAATTATCCACCGGATGTCGGATGGTTCCAATTTGATCCAATGGATATCTGGTAAGAATATCCATTGGATGGAACCGAACCGATCCAAGCGTTCATCGGGTTGGATTGATCGGCTATTCAATTTTAATCGGATTGGATCGGTTCAATTCACTTCACATCTAATGAATGTTAACTAACCCGATGAACAAGCTCTAACTTGCGACCCTGTAGCCTTCCATGTGACTTATGCTAGTAACCCGGGGCTGCCCCCCTAAGTCGTAACGAGCTACCCAACGACAAGTGGTTCACCGGCCACATCGTCTTCGTGACTAAAGCCTGCGACCATGCATCTCCATTCTTGATCACGTACATTCATCAAAGACACTACTATTTAAATGTAGTGAACCAAAACTCAACCATTTTATAAAAAAAATGTTTAAAATACCATTTAATATAAAAGTTTGTTGGGTATTATAATTTCTTTTAAATTTAAGAACCAAAAGTTAAAATTAAAAAAAAAACATTAAATAAATTACATTCAACTCCAACGGTTTTTTAATTTGAAGATTTTAATATATACATGACCTATTGAGCTTTTACGATTCCGTTGACGAATCTATTCAAGTAATTTTCATTCTGGAAGATCGTAATGAAAACATAATTTCTGTTTTTTTTTTCTTTTAGGTCGATTTTTTTTTCTCGGAATGTGATTGGTTTATAAGATCACTTATAGCTCTGGACATTTTATTGGTTAGCCCATTTGTTTCCTCAAGCTCGGTTGCAGTGCATTTAATATCCCAGTAAACTTTATAAAACGATATCCTTAGTATAAGGAAACAAATGAGCTTAGCACCGATGATTAAATAGCTGACATTGCATTTGATTGTTGGATGGTTGAACGGTGGATGATGAATTTTGGTAGTTGATAGCGTACCTGGTGATCTGACAATGAACAGTGGTGGATCACAATGTGCTTGATGAACAAATAAGTCAATGATGTGACAAAACTTTTATAAACAATGACCCCATTGTTACGTTAAAATCAGATCATTCTCCAATAAATTATCTACAATTTCTTTAAAATGGATAACTAAAAATCAAAATATTTAAAAGGAATTACATTTGACTCCACTCTATTTTAGATATTTTAACTTCCATTATATTATTAAATTAAAAATATTCTATAAATTTATCGTCCAATCATACTTTTTAAAATAATTTATATATAATAATAATTCAATCTTATTGGTGGATGAATAAAAAATTAATTTATCTTTCCATAAATCAAATTTTAAAGATGTTTTTAAACTTGGAGTTTTCTACCGTTTTCTTTATTTTTGAAGAAAAATATAAAAGATCTACAGAACCAAAATAGAGAACAAAAACTCTGTTTTTTTTTTAATAATATGTTGGAGATGCTATAAATAGATAATTAACCTTAAAACCCTTGCTACAAGTAGGGATGGTGATTTGCTCCGACTCGGTGGAGAACCCGGTTCACCCGACCCGAATGGGGATTCCCTGCTAAAACGGGTCCCAGGGCCGGGGATCCCCGGTAGACTCAAACCGGGACCAGAGATCTCCGGTAGAATCAAACTAAATAATATTATTTATGTGATTTGATAAGGGATTAACCGGGGTTTTATCGGGTTTTGACCGAGGATTGCTAGAGATTTGACTAGGGACAGAATGATAATCCCCGTACCCACCGGGGCTGGGGCTGGGGCCGGGGCCGGGGGACGTTACTACAAACTGAGGCCGGGATTATAAAACCCGCCCCATCCCCGCCCCATTGCCATGCCTAGCTACAAGTATTTCAACTTTCTATATATAGTTAAAAGTTCAAGACAATTTATGTGCTACAAAACATCATATATGTATTGACTCACTTTTTCACCTGTCATTTTTGACGATAATAGCGAAAGGAACAATGTATTTGCACATCTAAGATAGATGATGGTATTAATGCGACATGACTTATTTTGATCAAATTCATTGCATTATTGTTAAAAGCAGAATAATAAATGAATCAGAATAGTCGTTCATTGGCTACTTCTTTAATATACTAGAAGCGTACTCGCGCAATGCAGCGAGATACGTCGTGATTATAATATTTCGTTTTATTTTTTATCTTAGTCGATGTTATAATATGGCATTATGTGATTTTGAGAAAGCGATGATGTTTTTATTTTTGAATAAAATATATGTTTGACGATATCATAAAAATTTGACA